CCAGCAAGAAGCAGGTTTTTGAGTGCTTCTCCAGACCAAAGCCAGGGAAGACATTTCAAACAACCTGGTGAGTACAAAAACATCACAGAAGTTACAAAACTTCAGCAAGGAGCATAATCTATAGCCTTGAACTCTGCACAGTGAGGCTCCTTCAGCCCAAGGCAGACACTCCAGTGTCAATCTGCAATCTGTTCAGGAGAACCACGAGCAGGATGCCAAGGTAAAGTGGGGAAATGAGGAAAGCTTCAGCCGTTCTCTCCAGACAGAAATAACTCAGCATTTCTCCCAGCCTAGTGCAGCACATCACCGAGGTAAGAAAGGCTCCAGACTACTTCAATCAATCTTGCTGGACTTAGTCCATGGTTCTTTGGTTTTCACATGTAATTAACAACATCCAGGTTCCACTAAACGAATTCAAATAAATCCTTAGATGACTAACAGACAGCAGCTCTAGAAAGTCACATAGTAGCATATGAAGCCCAGATTTGTAGCATTATTTGGGGTCTCAGGTAGCTCATGGTGTCCCACAAGCCTGCATAACTATATTATATCAGTTGTCCTGCTACAGAGCCCCTGGAATTCTCCTGCAGTCCATGGAAAAGCAGTTTCTGCCACAAACTTAAAGAAGGTGAAATTCAAGCCCCTCCATTTCTCAGCCATCAGGAGGTAGTGGTAGAGACCAGTGAACCACAGTTCACACTGGTTATTGTTGAAGTATTGACTGCTTAATCCCCAAAGTCCTGTTCTCAAAGGTAAATTCATTCAGTTTTTTTTCTTAAAAACCACTTTATACCTCCCCAGTCCAGCAGTGATAAGTGACAACCAAGGTTTAGCCCACAAACCTTCCTCAGTTATATCCTGTTTGGACAAAAGTCACTTTCCATTGCCCTGCCCAAACTCACAGCTTTAACTTGCTGTGGGAACGATCACAGGCATCACAAGCATCCTAAAGCAGGAAGAAATTTGCCAAAAACTCCCAGGTGAGCCTGGAAAACAGACTGATCTCACAGCTCCCAGACAAGCTGTAACACCTGACACCATTACCTGCTTTGCATCCAAACCCAACTCCTTCTGTGCGTGTTTAAGGTCTGCCAAGTCCTGTTGAAATGGATCACCAAGCCTTCCTTTCTTACATTCTACTGTAAGAAATTAAGTTGCCTGTTGATACTCTGGGAGCTCAGAATTGAGATATTTTCCACTATAATGTAACTAAGTATGGTATTAATTAGACAACCGTATGCTGAAGTACAGCTAACCTGTGATAACAGGTTTTTTGGACAGCAATGATATGAGCAGAGCTGAGCAATTGTGATACCACCACATGTACTGCAACACACACAAGAACTGAAGTACTTGCCAGCTTTAGGGAGTTTCAAAGAATCACAGAATGGTTTGGGTTGGGAGGCACCTTAAAGATCATCTTCTCCCAACTCCCTGCCATGGGCAGGGACACCTTCCACTAGATCAGGTTGCTCAAAACACCATCCAACCTGGCCTTGAACATTTGTAACACCCTTTTCTGTCCCAAATCACTTAGAGCATCTACACACAAATCCTCCTGGTATCAAGACCTGCTTAATGGGTTGCAAGTTGAAGTGGACGGGCTATGTTATCCATCTCAGGCAGTGTTTTCCAAGTGTTACCAGTTGTTGGCAAATAGGTGAAGTCTGAGCCACAAACAGCAGAGTCACAGCTGGTTTTTGCAGAATTACTAAAATATTTCCAAACACCACGCCAGGAACTGCAGGAGTTGTTAATACAGAGATTAAACAGGTAGCTGTACCTGGCAGAGCTGCTTAGCTCCAGCACAGAGCACACAATTCCCACCTGGCTGTGCCTCATGTGCTACATGAAACTAGAAAAACAATTCCAAGGCCAAAAACTTTCCTCTGTTTTCTCAAAAAATACTGAGACTCTTTACACTAAGTTCATCCAGGAGTTAACCACAAGGAACTTGTGAATATAGGGACTACACCAACATGACTTGGACACAACAGAAAAGGACTGGAAGGATTCAAAACCATCCCCACACACCACAGCTCTGCTCCATTTGCCCCTGGAACAGGGTCAGGAACAGGAGGGAGGGCCAGGAGCAGACTGGTTTGTTCAAAAGAGGCAGCCAGCCCCTATTTTTAATCCAGAGAATCTTTTTACACTGTATTACCATTTTTTTCATCCCCTGGAGAAAAAAAGACAAAAAAAAAAAAAAAAAGAACAGTGGGCAAACCCACCACACTTACCTGCCCCAAGAGCTCAGGGTGCACAGCATTGGTTTATTTTGTGTTGTGTCTCTCCAGTCAAATCAAGCCCTTTCTTCCTTGGGGTGAAGAGCAGCTTTGGCCTCCACCATCAGCTTCCTCCATGGCTGCTTGGGAGCTGCACGTGCCATCCAGACAACAGGAGCTGCATCCTGCTGCCACACACCCATGGTTTTCCTCCCTGGTACCCTCCAGGCTCACAGGAGCTGTACATCCCTGTTTGAGCTCCCAGGACCCCCTGAACAGACCATTCACTCACAAAGGCAGGTTTTGCCACTGCTCAACTCTGTGACCATTATTTTAGCTCCTTATCACAACCCTGTCCACAAATAGTCACTGCAGAGAGCCCAGGACAGTCTCTATCAGCTGCTCCACTGAAAATACATTAGGGCTCTACCCCATTCAAACAGAAAAATATCCCCAATCTAACAAAAGAAACCCACTGTGGCAACTACAATTATGATTTCAAGGCAGCTGTACAGAAACTTAACACTAAAAACCTTAGCTCAAATCCAGAAAAATATCTAAAGGAGAAAAACAGGTCCCACTCACTCTCCATTTATAAGAGGAGAATAGGAAGTGCAGGCCCCCAGGACCACCCACACCCAGCTGATGGCACTCAGAATTAGGGCTGATTAGAGGATTCAGCTGGGGAGAACACGAGTCCCACCGTGAACAAGGCTCTGCTGGTGCCCCTGAGAGGAACAGGACGTCCCCCCACCACATGACAGCTAAAATCCCAGTATTGAAAAGAAACACAAACCAAGATTAGTCTTGACATTTCTGGGGCTTGTAATCACAGTGGGTGACAAAAGCAAATTCTGGATCAGAGCCTTTCCCTGAGCAATTTAAACACATCTATTTTAAGGGAAGGCTGAGTTAAACAAAGGGGTGACAGCCCAAAAGTTGAAAGCCACAGGATGTGGAGTTCTGGGATTATATGATAATTAGGCAGTCCAAGTAGTCTCCAAGATATGTGATTTTTTTTAGGAAATCAGGGTGGAAAAGCACTGCCACTGCTGCCCCTCACACTGTCTGTGGGTCCTTGTCTCTTGTCCCCCTGCATGCTGTAGAGGGGCACTGCTGGCCAAAATCACTTGACCCCCTCGCAGGGTGAAGGCTCAATTCAGGAGGAGGAAATAATCGGGCAGGAAGTGAAAATTAAACCACACGGTGGAAAATGGACGGGAATGGCTTTTGCATTCATCTGCCTACACTGGCATCTTGTCAAAGGGCTTTTATTGGGAAACCACGGCTGGAACCAGGGACTCCGGTGGGGGGAGAGCTCTGTTTTTCCTGCTTGAGGCTCAGTGCCTCCTGTGAGTTATCCCGCAGCAACAGGAGACGGGTTTGAGGTGAAACTTGAACTTTTGGTGCGTTTCCCCATCCCATTTGTTCATGCCTCCCCCAAGCAGCAAATCCAGCCGTGTCAGCAGAGGCACGAGGCCGTGTTTCAGGGGATTCTCGTGTTTCCCAGCCCAGCTGGACTGGCACCCGCTCCAGGCAGCCTGATGGCACTGGCACCGCCGGAGCTTGAGCCAGGAGGAACAGTGACACCCACTGAAAGGAGAATCCTCCTTCCCCAGCACCGCTGCCTCTGCTCCGGGGGCTGTAGCACATGGGACAGAGCTCAGCCCAGCCCGGGGGGCTCCGGGAGGAGAGGCTGGGGCTGCCCCGTGCGGGATGCAGCCACTTGCAGATGCTTCTGGGGATGCAGCCACTTCAAGATGCTTCCGTCTGATTCCTCACGAACAGCCCCACGGCAGGGCACGGCTGAGCCCGTCAGTGATGCTGGTGATACCTCTGGGCAAATGCCTTAAAGAAAGGGCAAAATGCAGTGGGAGGAGAGTGTGAGACAGCCGTGTGAGCAGCATGGTCGGGGGAAGGAGAAGAGTTGGTCCAGGTGCTGGTGTGCTCCCTTAATCCCCAAATGGTGCAGATATCCAAGCTTGTGACTAATATTAATTGTAAATATATTAACTTTTTTTTTTTTTTTTTTTT